GCTCATTTGAGCTTGATAACCGACCCAGTCAGTGTCACGCGTTGTTCGCATTCTTTGCTGGCGTACTGCGACAAGAGATGCCACCACACATATTACCGGATTGTGCCGGATGCTTGCGCGTTCTGCCCTGGGCTGTCGGGAAATATGTGGAACGTTTCGGTGCGCATACACATACGCCCCGTCTCGTCGCTGCTAGAGTGGCTAGATTGGTGCCGTTCCTGTTGGAACCTATCCCCATGACCGGTGTCTTGCATTGAAATCACCAAGTAGCAGAACCTTGGTGTCTAGCGCGAGTTGCCTTAATCTCAGAGGCGTTGAGAGTTTCATGTGGGCAGTAGACGGACGCGACAAGGAGTCGTTTGTTTCCCACCCAGATGTGCGCTCCAATAGCTTCGAGTGATGTCAGCATTAGGGTCGAGAGGTTTGCCTGGAGCTGAGGGATGTCGCGGCGAATGCTCAATGCGACTCCTCCTCCCAATCTGCCTTCGCGGTCTCTCCAGTATGTTGCGAATCCTTGAATTCTGAAGTCGCTCTGGGCGTTGAACCATGTCTCTTGTATCGCCATGATATCGAGATCATACTTTCGAATGAATTATCCTATTTGCTGGGCTTTATGCAGTGCGCAACGCGCATTTCAGGTACATGCACGCATGCAGATGATTCTGATGCGATTGCATGCAGATAGATTCTGGGCGTCTCCTAGTGGTTTGCGCCATCTTCGGGGAGAAGAGCTGCCAGTTGTGCAAGCATTGCCAGAAACTGGCTTCTGGAGAACGCTGCAGGGGCGGTCGCCAGTGGAGCGCTGGTCCGCGACTCCACCGCACCGGTTGTGTCCCGCAACACTGGGGCCTGAGCGGTGTTTGCCTCTGCTAGGTTTTGTACCACTGCTGACCAGGCTGTCCCGCTACTTTCCTGCCGGGGTGCACCGCCCTGATTTCGGACATGGGTGCCGTGATCTGACCGCCCGGCACTCTCCCCGTCATCGTCTGAGGGTCGACTGGGAAGACTAAAGTAACTGCAGCCGGAATACGCTACATGGCGTTCGCCGCAGTTGGAGCATTCAGGTGGGAGGTTGAAGTTACCCCGTTTCGGGCAGTGTGCCCTGTCCATGCACTCCGGCTTGTTCTGCTCCGTATGGTGGCCATTTCCCTTGCAGAGCTTGCTGCGGTAGTCATAAGCGCAATTGGCCGAGTGGTGACCCCATCTGCAGCAGCGAGCGCAAAAGAGGTGTGCCCTCTTTTCGCGCTCTACAATCACGTCGAAGCTATCCAACTGACGGACCGAATATATTTTTCGCGAGGCAGGCGTGTCGCGTAGGGTGACGATGAATGACCCCGTGAGCAGTTTACTGCGCTGCCATTTATTTATGGGAGTCTCACCTTCATCTGCGGGTCCGGCGACCGCAGATTCTTTTAGACGCCAGTGTTGCCTGACGCCCAGGGGGTCGTAGCCGAGCTCTCTCAGCTCTTGCGCCACTTCTCCCTCAGTGAACCCTCTCGGAAGTCCTATGATTGCCACTCGGAGGGTCTTTTCATGCCCTTCACGCGGTGGCTGATTCGAGGAGAGAAATATTTTATGCAATTTAGCATATTTCTCCGCATCTAGGTAGGCTACCTTGTCGGTAGTTTGGATTGCGTAGACAATACGCTTCCCCCGCATTTTGGCTAGCCTTTTTCCCTGTTGCTACGCCCAGCGCACGACCGTGGGCGAGCACAGCATCGGGGGAGATCCTGAGCCTTATAGAATATGGCTTTTTCGGCGGTCGCCGCTTGGGGCTCCCGTGTTTCGAGCGGGGCGAGCAGCCGGCCGCGCTGGTTGACAGCCGCCATCTGTGCCCTCGCCGTCGTGAGTTTGGAAGGGATGGGACTGGGCGGTGGAGTCGTTACCTGCCGGGGATTCCCGTCGGGCGCCAGAGGTGGTTCCGCTCTGGCCCGCGTACGGAGGTGCCGACGCTTCTTCTTGGGTGTGGGGGAGGTCGCCGCGGAGATCCTGGGACCCTCCCGGGACGTGTCCGTCTGGGGTGGGGCCAGGGCCTACAACTACGGCTGTAGCAGCGACCTTCAGCTTTCGCCGACGGTTGCGGTTCCTGCCTCTGGAAGTGGTGGTCGCGGGGCCGGCGCCCGCTTCGGTGGACGGCGGTCGGCTGGTTTTGCCTTCCCCGCTGCTCCTTTGCGAGGAGGGGGAGGTCGCGGGTGGCCCGCTGAAGGATGTAGGGCTCACTGGGTCGCTGTCATCTGGGTCTGCGGGTGCCGGCAGCTCGGGCTGTGCAGCGGGGGAGGGGAGCGTTGCACTCTCCTCCGCTGGGTTGCCGCTGGTTACGCCGCAGGTCCCGGAGGCCAGCGGCGTTGCGGACGGGTCGTCCGTGGTTTGTTGTGAGGCTGGGGAGTGCGCTTCGAATGCGCGCACCCTTTCCAGCACTGAGGGCGAACACCGCGGCTCCGGCTTGGGGCTGGAAGTAGCCTGAGCGGAAGGCCCGCCGCATTCCTTCTCTGGCTCCACAGCTCCGCTTCGCGAGCCCGTGCGAAGGCGAGTACCACCTCCCAGGGGACCATTTTTGGTTCCTCCCATTCCTTACCCACCATGTTGCCGGCTGCGGGGATGGAGGAGGAGAAGGTGTGTGTGTGTGTGTCTCCATACACCCTCTGCAAGCGCAATTTAGGGTCTCGCCGTGGAGTCGAGCCCATATCTATGGCGGAGGGAGCAGTCGCTGCGACGTCCACCGTGTTGTTTTCGGCCAATGGCCGAGGCGGCAGCGGCGGCGGTGGAGGCGGAGCTGCTGCGGCAATGGAGGCGGCGGGCACTACCGCGTCGTCCGCAGGGCCGGCGCCGGTGAAGGGCAGCGGCAGAGGCGTAGGCGGATGATATGAATAAGTGGTTTTTATCAAAAAGGGCTTACTATAGGGGTGAGAATATATTTTCAACAAACGCCAATGTTTAAATCTACAACACTCGATGTAGTAGTCATATTCATCAGGCGACAGTATCAACAGTCACTACAAAAAATTCACATACACGCACATTATTTTACAACACCTTGTCAGATGACACTAAACGATTAAATCCAGTACAAAAGTTTAAGTCCCAGGTAAAATATTTTCTGCTGCACAACTGTTTCTTTACAATTAGAGTCTATAACAAGCATCCAAAAGGAAAGTAATATTAATCTTAATAATGACATTTAATGTATTGTTTACCATTGTATAATTCTGAAGAACCTGTACCAAGTTTTGTACTTCAGCTTCTGGGTCAATGATCCCCATCTTGATCAGGTTTTTCTGAGCAAATGCTTCCTTGAGCAAATGCCGAGATGGCCCCCTTGATTTGCCACTGGCCATAAACGTAACTTCAAATTAACTTCTCTCCATAGCATGTTACAGTTTTTAACTGTTTTTGGTGTAAGTAAATAAATAATGTGAAGACTTTTTGTTAAAATATTTAATTTATTGAAGTGTTATACGATTGTATTTTCTTTACTTCAGCAGTGAGCGTGCTACATTTGAAAAATCGTTTTTGCATGACTGTTCTTTTGCACGGTTGTCTTTCGTTTGGCATACATCTCTGCAAACATACCACATACGTACCTGTGCGCCTAGTCTTGATGTTTGTAGTGGACAGAATCTATTACTTGATATATTACTATAAAGATTTGCATAGCATTGCCCGGCAATGCATTTATGGCAAAAGGTACACATGATAGAATAAAATTGATTGGCAAATCTGGGAATGCCAACTGCTGACGTCCTTAGTCCCGTAAGTGTAGAGTGGATGGCGAGGTCCAGCGCCAACCTACTTTCGCTTCCAGGGTTTTCCCTCAACCAGGTATTTCTCACCAGCGGGTACTAGATCTAAGCTCCCGACAAGTGTGGTAATGTAGTACATGCAAGTGGGTAAGTAAGAGGGACAAGGAAGAGGAAGGAAAGATCGCGCGCGATCCGTGGGTTGATTGTTAGGAAACTGTTTACGCCTTGTGTTGATCGAAGAAACCACGAAAAACTACCAATCAGCGCAGCCAGTCGCTATAGTTCTCTGGCTATCTAGCTAGCGTCGGAAATCCTGCCACCGTCGGAACTCGAACCTTAGGGCCTCTCGGTCAGAATTGCAGTGACATCAACTGATGCCCTGAGCCACCTTTGTCGGTAAGATAGAAGATAGTAACAAAATCGCAGATAAATTTAGACCCGCGACAACGTAACCGCAGAAATAAGAGCTAACTTCCAAAACAAACGGGTCCACCATGGGTAGGATACGTTGCTTTATTACAGAAACTCACTAACTCTGCATTTAAAGTTAGTAATGCGTGAATAAATGGTAAGTGGTGAATTTCATCAAGTAATTTTCGCAAAGGACATTCCCCCTCTATAGCATGCACAAGACGTTTCACTATGGCTGCATCCTCGATTTTTTCAGAAGTCAAGGTGCACTAATAAGTAAATTAAAGGAAATTATTCAAAAATACGGGCAAACAATTGTCTTAAACGAAAAAATTCATTGCGACCATTTTATAAATGTACAAGTCGCGCGCGGATTTGCCTTCGGCGTACCAGGATACCTGAATGGCGTATCAAAGGTATGACATACGTGGCACGTACCACAGGCGCCACTCACTAGGGACGCGATTTAGAGTATACCCGCTAAAACAAATAACACCCTGCCTAATTTGACGTATCCTGACTGGGGCGCAAATTCTAGGCTTGTCATGGGTGACTGAATACCTACATACGCTTCTGGTCAAAACTATTCGAATTTTAAGACTTGTCCATGAGAACTGGCAATGAATTAGAGAATTTTCAAGAACAAAATCAAATAATTTAAAAATGCGTCCCTCTATATACATCACGAAAATTATTAATGTTGATCGTCATGAACTTAATGCTACCGCGTCTTTATTTCATTCAGTTCCGGAAAACGTAGAAGCACACCATAAATGGCAGTCGTCAGAAACTGTACTTTTATTTGCAATAACAAAGACGAACACGCTCTCACTTTCCCACCGCAAAAGAAGAAACACTTGCATTAACAGGCATATAGAATTTATTGATATGCACACTACAGAGAACCAGATTATATACAACGACTGTGGCGACTAGCTCAGCTGCTCCGCCGCGCCTCTTCCTCCACCTGCTGCTGCTGTGGGGGCGTGGCGTCGCTGTCCCGCGCCGCGTCCTGCGCCGCGCCTCCCGCCGTCGCCGTCGCCGCCGCCTGGCCTTGGTCGCGGGCGGGCAACCGCCCCGCGGGACGCGCCTGGTCCTCCAGCACGCGGCGCAGCAGATCCACCAGCTCGTGTGGCCCGCCCACGCACTCGCGACTCCCTGCAACGCAACACGGCTCAGCTACGCCACATCCACCACCACCTTTTCAAAACATCCACATTTTTTTTATAAAAAACAATTTAATATCGATTTATTGAGGCCGATGTTCTGTTTTTTATCATCGATGTTTTGAGCTAGTGATTTCACTTGGTTCATATTTTATTTTTGAATTCAAAAATATGATAAACTAAAAATAATTTTCATACCTCCATAATTTGTTCAAAGTCACCCAGAGAAAAATAAGTTCGTCGAATTTTTGTTAATACAATTGTAATAATGATTTTTGTATTATCCAATAATACAATGTTTGTTAATTGTTCTGCAATTCTTACTTTTGTCAGCTAAACATCAATTACATCGATTAAAAACATCGATAGTTTTGGGCCGGCGAATTTTGATCAGCGATTTTAAAATTGTAACATAAATGTTTCGAAACATCGATGTGTTTTGTCGATGTCGCAGGGTTATGGCAAGGAGCACAGTGCCTGGGCGACGCCGCGTCGAGGGCTGGCTAGCCAACGTTACGGCCATGATGGCCTTTCGTATGGTTACAATGCACAGATGGAAAGTTGCTGTAACTTCACAATTATTCTCAAAGACTTTGGGTTGCTTGAATACAGTAAAATGCAATACAACAACTCTTAACACAGAAAAGTGAATGGAAGAAATAGGTATATATAAAAAAACATTTATTGTTAATTACCTGAGGAGGCAGAAGGAATAGCTGTACAAATCATTAGGTCATTTATTACAAAAGTCCATTAACATTGGTGGGTCTCTTATTGATCTTCAAATACTTCCATTTAACACAACTGACGCCTCTCTGAAAATCCGCTTGTTCTCCATTTCAACTGCACGAAAATTCGTCCCTTTACTTCAATTATAATTAGAAAGAGATGAAAATATATCTTAGACATAAGTATCTAAAACATATTCAATATCGCTTCCCTACCGATTGATTTAATGTTAAGTTTTACAAGACCCGCCAACGGCGTCAGAGGTCTTCAAGTTAGCAACATCAACGCCCACTGGGGCATAACCGCTGGTGTCTTCGGCTGCCATCACCCCTTAATCGAACACGGATACACAGATATTGGAAGGGAATCCTTTCTGGTTTGAACAGTCAGCTTTGACGAGTATGATTAAACTTCTTTTCCAAACGAACTTTTATTGGATTCGAGATTTATTTCACGAGTAGCTGAACATTCGTGAAACTTTCGCCCATTCTCACACATCACTAAAGTACTGATTTTTTTTTGCCACGATTCCAAACTTGACGTATTATTTCAATATGTTTCATTTTTGGCACATTTTGCCATCTCTAAGTTCGCTCGCGCAAACACGTTTGGGTCTTCGGCATAGAAAATATTGAGTCTGCAACGCATAATTCTCTAAACATGTTTATGCTTAAATTGAATCGAACTTCTCAACTTGCTACCTTTCGCGCCATAGATATTCTTAGTACTAACGGGTGCAAGATGGAATGATGTTCAAATACTGTTACTCTGAACACAGCTAAGATGGCGTGGGTCGTATGTTCATTATAATAATTTACTTGTTAAATACGTACACGATACATGTGATCTGTAACACTGTATTTGTCGAAATTACTCTTTACGTTTCTTGTGCGGCTCAGTATCACGGCTACCAAATTTTTAGTATTTAAAATGCAAATTAACGACGCTTAAGCAGCATTTGTGCGATATGCCCTGCTTCCTGCCGAAGCTTCAATCCTTTCGGAAATCGTCACCGTATACTCCAAGAATCTAAACAGAATACTGTAGCCAGTTGTGGAACCTCTGCTCTGTTGCTCCATTTAAGTTTCATGACTTCTAAAGTGACTGCGGATATGAAACTAACTTTTCTTTTAATTCTTTGAATTAACACAGCCTTCCTTACCTTACCTTACCTTACCTTCCCTTCCTGGATGAACATATACTCTCTGAACATGGGTAAGGCAGACTATCAATTCCTAATGTCGGGGCGTGCGAGTGTTCAGGTTGCAGCCGGATTCTGTACCCAGCAGCCACGAAAACACGATGTTTCTACTTTCTCGTCTACTACTCAAGTACTATAGAGTATTGTAATGCTGCGAGGGAAAACTGCGAATTTCCGTCAGAAAAAAACTTGTTGGTGGACCCCAGTAACAAAACAGTGGATAAATCTTGTTCCTGTGCGTAATGAATTACTTCTAACACGTTGGTCAGAATCCACAACTGCGATATTTCAGTATTATGTATCTGTTAAACATAATGCACATTAGTATCGGCTGTTGTAGCTCGTCCGGTTTTTTGGGCGAGAAAAGCCATAGTTGGACTTCTAATGTGGAGTGCATACACACGAAAATGGAGGTTTGTTCCCAAGACAACTTCTAAGAATATTAAAACTGAAAATGATTTAAATGTTTATTTTTGACAAAGAGAAGACTGATATAAATATTTTAAAAAATTCACGATTTGGGAATAAAAGATGCCTACCCTACTTCACATACTTCTCAGTTTCTGGCAGATTGACTGTTTACAAAACTTGGGAAGTTTGTATTTGGAGATGGGTGCTGGATAGAAATGCACCCCCTTTCACAGTGGGTTGAATGTACTCGAGACCACACAAATTATTTTCACCTCAACCAATAATTTCTACATCATATATTATTTACATCTTAGTAGAGAATTTATTATTCATTGTAACTGCAAATTTTCAGCAAAAGAACTTGTGGTCTACTACATGAAAATTAATGTATATCATTTTTTGTTTCTGTTTTTATTTCACATTTGGATGCTCTATTACACATTTATATAATAGACTTTAAATACAGCTCTATTCATGAGGAAGAATAGTTATGTACTGAGTGCAGCAGCACAAAGGACAATTCTCCAGAGTGAATAAAGCTCAGGTAAACTTTGTGTCTTATACAAAACTTTCTTTTTAAACGATTTCTCTTCACATGCACGCCTATGCCACAAAGGACGAATCACTACAGTAGGCAGCCTTCTGGAGGTCATCTTTATGTGGCTGTGATTTCAGCTGGTTTGCATTGTGTGACATTCTGCATGGAATAATGCAGGAAAATTTGAATTAAGTAAACGATACACATTATTTAGACTCAAATGAAGATCTACAAATTCCTGATGATATCTTGAAAGAAGCAGAATGTGCTGTTTCAAAATTCTTTGCTGAAAAATCGAGGCATATCTACAAAAGAGATCACATGTTTCTGCAAATGGAGGAGTGACAGAAAAGTAAGAAAAGTTTCAGAAGAAATTGTACTTGTATATTTTAACAATAAATCAAAAGCGTACAGATCTTCATCACTTTGGAACTATTATTCAATGTTGAGGGCAATTTTACGTGTCAAGGAAAATGTTGATATCTCTAAGTATGTGCATATATATATTTCTCTATGGAAAATTGTAGACTACATGTGTTTAATGCATTAATTGATATTTATATTTATAGATATTGTAAATGGACTGCATTTTCGAAGAGAGATGAAAAGGGCTTAAAAGCCAAAAAAAATTTAACTCTTACAGAGCTTGAATTTTAGATTTATTAACACATATATGGTGAGGTCATTTTTTTTGTCACATAACTGGTGATGTGGGGACTACGCAATCCCCAGCTCACAAATTTGCTTAGGTGTGTTGAAAAAACAAAAATGTCTGTTTTGGTGAAATGAACAATAAATTTTATGGATTATCAATAGGATTATTACAAAAATAATAGAACAAGAAGCACAGTTACTTAACAAATTAAAAAAATATTCAAATGCCAACATGGATCACTAAAAAACCACTCTGCGAATTATATTTTGTACCAATACACAGACAATTTTCCTTTTTGCGGGGCCAGAATCTGATTAAGGAGGGCCAATTAATCACATCTTATAACTAATACAACACAATCTCAATTGTAAGTTACTTTCCACAGTTCCTCATTCACTGCAGTTTCCGCACATACACTCTCCATACATACACTCTCCACCTCTTCACCAGAGAATTCACTCTCTTCTGCTTGTAAATCGACCTTGACCCATTCCCGGGTCATCTCCCCTAATATCATCCCTAGTTTTGTGAATTATAAAAAATTAAAAAATTAAAATAAAAGAGGTATAAATACTTATGTAACTAGTGAGGAGGAGATTTTTTATACCCCATGTGACAGAAAAAATGAAAGTTTCTGTTCGCCTTCAACAACGCACGCAAAACAAGGTTTGCAGAACAATTGATTTCCTAAGAGGTACCCAGAAGCAAAGGCTCCTTTGTGCAGGTTCAGTGTCTTTCAAAGGCTGGGGTACTAACAGCCACCACATCACGAGTTACGAGGCAAAGAAGCTTGTGACAATCAGTATTTATTGTTGAAGGTTAGCTTTTAACCGACTTAAAGACATTATCTTAGACTTCAAATTCTCTTTCAAACTCTCATTCTTTCACAGGTTATAATAATAAAGGGAGTCGCTGGTGGGTGCAGAAAGACTGAATTATATGAAATGACCATTGACAATGTTCAGGACAAAGATTCCATTTATATAGTAAAAATGCCAGACACAAAACCCCACATGGAAAGAATATTCACTATGGTTATTGAAGAAAATGCAGTTCAATTATTGCAGATAGTGAAAAAGGGCATGTCGTTATGTCCATCTAATACAAGTCATAAGCTCCTTCCTTGGGGTGGGGGGGTGGGAGGGAGAATCAAAAATGCACTACACAATCAATAAGAAAAAAATAATACAGATCATTAACGTTAAAAAGACATGGGGGATGGAAATCAAATTCTCTTGTAGGAGGATACATTGATCAATCTCATCAAAATAAAATTGGAGTTTCCGGGAAGATCCTGCACGTAAAATGTGTAATTAAGAACACAGCAGCTACACATAGTATGATGTCTTCAAGCGTAGAAATAAACACTGAGGAGAAAATGAATATTCCAGTATTGAGTTTCAATAACTTACATAATAGCACTATAATGTTTGTGTTAACAACGATAATTATATTAACGGTATAAGTCATTAAATGTTTCACGTAGATTGCATTATTTCGTTTTTGTTTACTCTGTGATTACTTTAATCCCAGATAGATTAAAGTGACACTATAGACCATTTAGGAATAAAAACACATTTTAGCATATGAAAAAGTGTGATTAAAGCCGCACTTAAATCACTTTTAAAATAAAAGATATTAATCCATGACGAGGCTCATTGTGTTATCTTTTCAGTGCAATGTAATTTAAGAACCTTATGTGAATGGTACACTCCTTTCATTTTCGGAAAATTCACACTGAGCTGCAAGTGATGTATTCCTTAGCAATTTTGAAAAAACAACTTTGGAGAGAATAATGATAAATGATTTAAAAAAAATTCATTTGTCTATAATACATTAAAAAATATGTCAAGAATATTAAAATGATGAGTTTAAATTTTCCTCAAGTCTTTCATTTGACACAGAATGCTTCACCAGTTAACTTGTCTGTGCAGAAAGGAGAAACAAACCCCTTAATCACATTCACGCCTCATCCAATGACTAAGTAGAAATAGTACATTTGTTGCATTCTCTTGCCCTACTTTGCTGTGTAATGCACATAAAGCATTTAAATATGCACACTGATTATAATAATAGATATAAAGAAAGACGCAGATAAGAAAATTTACCTAAAATCTACTTCTCTCATCCAAAGAGAGCCCGTTTAATCTTGGTGAGAATGCCATCTTCGTTTGCCCTGTCTTTTGATTGGGACTCAGACCCAGCCCGAGGGGGTTGTGAACTGCTCCCTGCACAGACAGAAAGCAAAATAATCAAAACTGGAAATAAAGTGACTTTTCCTAACTCCCCCAACACCATATATTTCAAAGAAATTCTGGGTCAACATCAAACAAAAAAGCTTCAATTTTGATTTCTAGTTTAAAGTCATAGCAATTAATTTCAACTGGCTCTTTTTTTAACACCATTTTCCTCATGAGATTGATCAACTCATTTTTATAATTATGAGTAGAGGTGCATTTTAATAAAATGTCATTTTTTTTATCTTTCTTTCTTTTCAATTTAGAACAATGCCATTTAGTATAGAAATTAATTTTATGTTAAGACAAAAAAAATGACCCATTTTTATAATTTTCCCCCTCCATCAGTTTCTACTAATAAGTCACTTTTAATGCATATTTTGCAGATTTCATCAATTTTAATGGTACTTGCTTCAAACAATATTTATGTGGTGCAAAAAATGTTCACCATAGATTTCCTGAGAAGCACATTCGATTTCTTCGCTCATATATCTCATGTCAGCCGTTGTGAGTACTACATAATCTAATGTTCCTGTGACGCTTACCAACGCCATTGTCAGTTCAGCCAATTTCATATGATAAATGAAGGCAGAGATTTTCTTTTAATGAACAGTCCAAACCAAAAGTTTGCATTCTGAGTTCACTTGAACAATAGGAAGAAGCCTCAATTACACCAGTAGCATACCCAACTGCGTGAGTTGTTCATTTGAAGTGGTTTAGATCAAATTTTAAACATTATTTTTCTTTGTTTTGGGACCATTTTTAAAGCATTTTAAGAGCATTTTGTTAATCATTTTTGGCAATGTTTTAGGTCATCAAAATACACCCCCTAATTATGAGACACGAAATTACCAGAATATTTTGCTATTTTAAAGTGAACTTCCAGCAATCATTGTACAGGATATATATTGTGAAAATTAAGAGAGAGGGTAACAAGAAAAAAGATGTGGATAAAAGGGAAATCAGTCTTAATTATAGAAAAATCTGTTTGTTTCATTACAGAGTTTATAACAAAGTTGAAAGGGAGGGGTGATATTTGTAACAAAACCAAATGCAAGATGATATTTGCACAAGACAAACTAGAATCAGATGTTTATTATTTCTTTCTCCTATAATTCCTGTAATAACATACTCAAGGTTTAATCTCCAGATGATCAAAATTATGATTTTTTTATAAATAAAATATTAATTTTATTAATATAACTAGCAGAACCCGTCAGACGACATTCTGCCCTTCCTTTCTCCCTCTTCCTCATCAAAAAATGTAATAGAATGCTCAAAAATCATCATCATGTAAATTACGGAGTGAGAAACGTTTCTTTGAGGCCAGTGGCCTCAAAATTTTAGTTTCTAATGCCCTAGAACATTTCGTTTAGGAGTTATTTAAAGATAAAGATTCAAAATATCCTGCTGTGTGTTGCGGGTTACATTTGACATGAATATTTAATTTTGTTCTGCAGCATAAATTTCTGCACAATGTTTAACAGATAAAAACCATCTTTGAAGCGGGTTATATATCGTGTCAAAATTTGAATTCGGTAGGTGCAGAACGTTTTCAGTTTTTGAAGCAAACCAACATGTCTTAGATGATAAAATACCCTTGAAGTTGGTACACTAAAACAGTACAGTGTACCAACATGGGGTATGTTTGAAATTATTAGGTCAGCATTCCAAATACTGTAGGATTTTACAATTTATGCAAAATTCTACATTTAGATTATTATAAGTAATACATATTCAAAAATATTGAACTGCAAATATGATTAAATTGAAAAGTAAATATTTATGATTTACATTGGTGATTTAAAAAAGCATTTGATTAAAATCTAGAGTTAAAAATCATATCAATCCTGGTTTAATCATAAAAATTAATAAGCTAGACATACATATAATTTTAGACACAATAGGAGGTACGCTGAGGCATTTCTTTCCAGTAGGGTTTGATGTATAATTAACATACGATTTCGTTTTCTGAAAGAAAGAATAATTAACAGGAAGGCACAAGTTAAACTTCAATGGTCATTAGATGTCAAGAAAAGATTTTAATTAATGGTTTTGTTCAGAAAGCAGGACCTTTGGACAATGTTGATAGAAAAGTCAAAAGAGAAATGTCCAACCAAGACATCCATGAATTCAGTCAAGTGTAAATAGTTTGTGTTATTCTTAAGTTTTAGGAGTCTAAATTTCTAAATAATTTCATTCTATCACTAATTTGTTGGCAAATATTATAACACATAAGTAATAATTGCACTGAACGGGTGGCAGTTTTAAATTTCAAGAGCAAGAAACAAGAATCAAAGATTTCTGGAGGACTTGCACGGTGGAATTTCTTCTTGGCATTGTCAAAAGCTGCATCATCTAAATGAATTGTAAGCACTGCGATTAATAATGTGCAGTCAAAATTACGAAATCTTTGCAAAGAAATATTATCTAGACATTTTAAAGGCTTTAAGAAATTAATGAAGTTATTATTTTGATTAAAATGACATGCCCAAAAAAATAAGTGAATGAGCTCTAAATTATGTAAATTCAATAATGTAGGTAGTTGAAAGTAAAAGAATATTTGCATTTTCAATATATGTGAATATTTTTATTGAGAGAAGGCTGATTTTTTAATAATTAGATCCTGCAGACCAATCATCTTTTTAACCTGAATAAATTTTTAGAGTGTACCTAGTCTGTACTGGATGGGTTGTCGACTCAAGTAAGTATTGTTCAAAAACATTAATTAAGGAGTTGCGCATCTACAGAATTAATTACATTATATTCAAACATCTTGTTTGTTTGTTTGTTTGTTTGTTTGTTTCTTAGCACAAGTTGTCTTTCCTTTCTTAAAAGTTTATCCTAGTAGTACAGCATGCTTTCAGCCATGATTCAGGAATTTTAAACACTTCTAACTTGGGAAATGTACAATAGATTCTCACAATTTCCAACGTAGTTGAGAACGATTTAAAATGTGATACCAACATCACTGACTGTGAGATGCAGTTATGCGTATCTGTGCAATTTCAGACATTTTGTTTTTACCGTAAGTCCAACAGTAGCAAAGTACCTTCTAAAATAGAATGTGCAATTGCAATAAATTCTATATTCCTATGTGATAGCGAATCATGTTATTAGGTACACAAAACACTTACTACATCTTCCCAGTAAACATACAACTAATTGTAGTGCATTCACTAGTAAACAGTTTTGCAGTTCATGGATTTTTCAAAGAACACTGTTCCCATGAACAGTGAAGATTTGCTGCATTCCTTTTCATTTTGTTAGGTCATGTTCTAATGTATTGGTGGAAAATCTATTTGGCATACATTAACTGAGGCCACATCTCAATTATGCACATCACATTGTTTAAGGGGGTAAATGTGAATCAAATATAATACACAAAATTATATGTAATTAAATAAATAATCAAACAAAAGAAAAGAGCAAGTATGTACTTTACCAAATAATGGAAAATGGTAAAAAAATCAATATTTAATGTGCCACAAAAAAGTCAACTCACACAATAAAAAGCATGACACGAAATATATTTACAATACTGCTTTCTTTCTATTCTTGTACATACCAAAAAAACAAACCATATAATAAATTAAAACAAAAAAATTACATGAATGATTCTGAAAAGAAACGACAACTCATTGAAAATGCATAGTTAGTCCACACTTCTTCCAGAAGAATAAGGTGTTCACATTTTACTTACCATCTTTCTTAAAGGCAATGCCACGCACTGTTCCAGGTGTATCCTCCTCCAGTTCAGCGTAAGCTAGTAGTAAAGCTTTCTGCTTCTCTGACAATTTTGACGGAGTTCGTATCTTGACATGTACATAATGGTCACCATATCCATATTGATTGACCCTCTTCATTCCTTTACCAGAAAGTCGAATTCTTGTATGGGATGATGTTCCAGGAACAATCTTGAAAAAGATGATATGCAAGATACAGTAAATTAAATTCAAAAACAGATAAAAATTCCCCGAATTAGCAGTCTTTCAACAAATACATAAATAGAAATTGGAATTTGCTACCACCTCTCCGTCTCAAAAAAAAATTATTTTTTTAATGTACTAATTTATGTAAGTACATTCAATTTTACTGTCCCCAAAACCAATTTTGGCAAATTGTTGCCATCCTAACACAATATCCAATTTTTTTCATATTTAGTACTGTATACATTTTACATATTTTGTTGTTTTTGCAAAATATTTTTAATTTTTTCAATTTTCTTCTGCCTTATACATTCTGCATTTTCAAAAATTATAATTATTTCCTACCCTATTACTGAGTGCTGTTGCATCGAGATGTGCTACATAAAGACACAGTCGGATGTTCTTACTGTCAAGCGCGCATACTTCAGTTATTTTAGTGGCAGCTTGGGAAGTGCATGACAGCGACCGAGATCATTTTCACTTTTAGGAGTCAAAAATATCACTGATGCTGGGTTTCGTGATCTTTAACCTTAATTTCCAAGAAATGTTGCCGATTGCCAACTTGTAACACTTTGATGAAGATGCTGCACGCTACCATGATTGTTTGCTGGTCATAGATACTGACAGTTTGTAGGAGGGCTTCTATTGCATCTAGCCTGACTGCTAAACACCATCTTGAATAGCAACAAATGAAGCTTTTATTGCGGACACGAAAGTATGGTGCAAATGTGTATCAAGTTGTGCTTTCAAAATTCTTTTTTAAATGTTAGCATTATTTTTAAAATTCGTTCAGTAAATTTTTGATACATGTAATTTCATATTAGGTAAATGTGTTTTATAACGAATGTATTTTAAAATTACATATTTTATTTCCATTTTACATATTTATTACATATTCTCAGTTTTCATTACAAATTTAAGTACATATTTTGACGTTTCATACTACATATTATTCTGGTCTCTAGTAATAACTATAGAGGGCTTCTACCAACATCAATACTCTGTGCCACCATATTAAGAAACAGATTAAATGGAGACCTAGAGAGGAACAGACCTGAGAGACGCACAAAATGATTTCAGAAAAAGGAGCACAAAAGACACCACATTCACAATATGAACAATTCTGAACAGATGCAATGAAATGAATTTACCAAGTTACCTAAAGACAATTCTTAGGCTTAGAAAAGGTATATGGTAGAATATATAGAGATTTAATGTGCAAAATACTGGAAAAAGAAAAGATACCTACTGAAATAAAAAAAGGAATTCCAATTCTCTATGCAGACTCACTGATAAGTACAAAATCGAATAATGGAAACGTGTAAATATCTTTCAAAATAAATAGAGGACTAAGATGGAGGTAAACTGTCACCATCCCCTTTTAATATATAATAATAATAATAATAATAATAATAATAATAATAATATAATAATAGTTATTATTAATATTATTATTGTTATTATTGCTCATAGGCATTTATAAATATAAAATGCATCGAGCAACATCATGCCAACAGACATTTTAATACAATAATGACGTATGTAGTTAGGTATAGAAGTTAAAATAACATTACAATCATTTTTATATTCAACCATATAATCAAGGATTGGAAACTAACAATCAAGAGGAGAATAAAATCTCGATATAAGACAGAAGATCCAAATAATTCTTTACATAAATAATGTAGTTGTTAATTATAGAATCAGAAGATGAACAACAAATTCCGGCATATGAATTGCTTGAAACAAGCACATTAAAATTTCCATAAGCAAGTCAAATTCAATGGCACTTAAAAAAAAAGAAATGAGAAGTCGAAACTGTCATTACTGGGCATTAATAAAACAAGTATCCATATTTAATTATTGAGGCAATACCAATGAACATAGATCAGAGGACATATAAAACAAAATCCAGACATACAATAGAACAAATTGACTAATCAAACAACATTTCAGAAGAGAGATGACTCAAGAGTCCAAATTAGGAACATAACATAACAGTACTTCTTACCTGAATGGTTTGATCTTCATAGATACCCTGAACACGAATGGTACCACCAAGTACTGCTTGTGACAGTGAAATTTCAGCTTCAGTGTGGATATCAGCACCATCCCGGCGGAAGTAGTCAGATTTCTCAACGCGGAACGTAATGAAGATTTCTTTGTTTCCAACAGGCATGCGTACAGTTTGAGAATCCTCCACACCTATTACCAGAAATCAGTTTTCAATAAATAATGACATTTTCATATAATCAAATTGCATTTTATGAAACACAATTTTCAACACAGGACATGGTATATAGAGCCAGGATAGAACACTATCCCTGACCATTCATGGCCATCCCTCAAAACCTAACATTCCCTCACCCCCTTTATCATGTATTTCCTCTTCACTCGAGAGGCGTGAATTGCCAGATTCATCGACTTCCTTAAATTGGATTATATTTTCTACTTCAACCTGTCCTGTTTATGTTAAACACTGAATTTAGTTCACATTATCACTTTACCACCAAAACAAATATTTGAAAATAGTATAAATTTGCCAGGCATAACATGTATTTTAAGAAATCAAATAATTTTAAAGTTTAAATAAATGATTAAAACACCAAATTGTATGGAAATGTGCTGTACATCACCAATAAAAAGCTAGTTTAACATAGGCATCAAATTATTAACAAGAATATTATTGACATCACAGTGAATAAATAGTAAAATCAAAGTCATCAAATTCAATTCCTTGTGTACAACTCGAAGGAAGCTATATGACAACATTATTAGTGCAATTGATTGTATCTGAATAAAAATTAGGAAAATAATAAATACACCACAACATCAAGCTCTATAAATAAAACTCTCACCTGCAGGTACTGGTACAGTGACACGTTTTCGTTGCACAGTACTACCTTTACCTTCACATTCTGTGCAAGGGAATTTTATATGCATGCGCGTGCCATGACAATAACGACATGTAGAACGCATCACAAAAGGACCTGAAAACGCACAGTGACTTCATTACTATGTAGCAGTAATTATTAAAGAAAAGGATATTTTTTTTAAGTATTGAAATCAGTACTTCAAGAATCAATACATTAACATCTCTGATACTACAGAAAATGGTATGCATAAATTAAACAGTTTATCTTAATAGCTTCATAATAATTTAATAACTTCAATTCCAAAATCAAGTAATTCATCACTTTCTATCAATACTTAAAGAAGAAAAACCTGTAAAATTCTAAACAAAGCCGTGAGATGTTAAAGAATATTGAATATGCATTATATATACCCGTGCTAATAGTCTCCATGCCTGTGCCATTGCAATATGTGCACCTCACAGCCTTAGTGCCAGGTTCAGCACGAGCACCTCGACACTTAGGGCATGTATCAATGACATTTACATGAATATCTTTGTTAACACCACGTGCAGCTTGAGAGAATGTCAAGTTCATGATGACCTATGGAAACAAAATTATGATAACTTTATTATAAAAATAAAATTTCACTCCATACAATATTTCACTGTACAACTCACTTCCTGAGAAGCACCAAATCCAAATGAGGATTCCGCAAAATCTTCTCCCAAATCTGCTCCAAAGCCAGATTTGAAGCCAGCTTCACCAAAGATTTTGCGGAATAATTCCTCAGGATCAATTGTGGATCGAAACTGCCAATTTTGTTCAAATCCACGAGCACCACTTCCAGTACTACTTCCACCCATTCCCATCTGCTCCGAAGTTGTACCCCATGCATCATACTGCTTGCGTTTTCCATCATCACTAAGAACCTGAAGAGTAATAGCAACATGAAAAACTATACTACATATATTACTCAGTATATACATATGTATAGGAGAAAGTAAAAAAACGAATTAAATAAATGTATAGTGTGACAATATATACATTTCTAATCAACTCACTTCATATGCTTCTGACACTTCTTGGAACTTTTTTGAAGCATCTGGGTCATTTTTATTGGTATCTGGATGATACTTCTTTGCTAACTGATAATATGCTTTCTTTATATCCTTTGAAGAAGCATTCCTAGGTACTCCAAGAATATCATAATAATCACGTTTTGATTGAAAAGCTGTAGAACTGATATGGAAGTTTCTGCTACGAGGAATGAGATGATGTGCTGTAAATCGAAAGTCACTCTTTGATAAATAACACATGGAATCATAAACAAAAGTGAGGTTAAGTAAAGTAAACTGAACCTTTGTTCAATTTAAGAAAATGCCATGCTCGTACAATTCACACAGAGTTTGTTATAGGCGGCAATTAATATCTGGCATATAAGTTGCAGGAATTAAACTATCGAACTTACATTGAGAACGTTCTTCTTGTTTCTGGATTCCTACCGATACTACACTAGAGCTATAGATTCTACCACATCCAAGGCATGTATGCACAAATCGACACGAAAACGTCTGAATTGGCTGTAGACCTATTAAATTTGCAGTCCTTATACTTGAAAGACTAATTACACATCTTGCAACAGCCATAATTTATATTACGGGATTTGAAAGCCCACTATCGTCGCACGAACGGCGTGAACAGCAGCCGCCCGGGTCCGCACCGCACGGGTGATCTGACGTAACCGGGTCGGGCTCGCTGAAGAAACGTAGTTGATTCTAATCATTCGAAAGCTAGTTATTGCCCATCTTTATTTTATAACGTCGGATAGCTCTTCAGTAATCACAGAATCTGTACTTGTGCTATTAGAATTCGTGACTTCAGTCGGAATGCGTAAGAAGTGTGTGGTGGCTTTGCAATCTTCCTCCGAGTTGTTGGCTTGCACCCTTCTTCAGAACTACTATCGTTGTTACAGTTCAAATCAATTGTTTTAAATGCTATAGTTCATGGACATTCTTGAAAATATTCTGGCAATTTTGTATACGTATAATGTATGTTGAGTTTGTAGGAACTTGTGGAATATACTCTTTAATGATAAAGGTCAGATTAAGTGGAAAGAAAAAATAAATAAATATGTAACATCTTATTATAGTATTTGCGATTGCATCACACATTGAGTGGTGTTGCCAGGGTATATTTTATAACAACTCACCACCTGAAACCCCTTTTTAACCAAAATTATCGATTAAAAATCGTAGATGAAAATGCGTATTAAGTCTAGCACTCATTTATTACCTGTATTTGGCGAACGTCAATATTTTAAAAAAAAATTATGCATTATGCATACAATCTATACAACTACATATAGTTTTACCAACTTAAAATAACGATTCAAAAAAACTCAAAAGTGCTAGTGTAAACTAATAAATTTAAACATATACTTTGTCAGGAATGTTTGTATACTGAAAAATAATACCTACATTTTTTATAGATTCAATGAGTACTATATTATAAAACTTCAGCTTCTATTAATAAAAAACGTACAAAAATATGGATGCAGTGGTATTAAAAACAATATTTCAATAGGTATGCTGATTAACTCTTTTTTACAAAGAAATGCTTTCTCATTTTCATAATATCGCACAAAATAAAACAAATAATGAATAATTTTTATCATCCTTACTCTCGTTCTTTAGATAATACAATAATACCACAGGCAGGCATTGTAGCTTAGGATATGAAATTACCGTAAAATGAGTTTATCACATGAAAATTGAAAAAATGGTCCTGTACCATTTAGCTTATTTTCCCATTTGATCAGTTTTAAGACATCTTGTATACCATTAAACAGAAGTATAAAGGTTAGGATGAGGTTTTATCAATAACAAACAAAAACATTAATAAATGTTCATATACACCAATATTGGTAAAACTAGAAAGTCCTGAAACAGATACACAGCAAACTTATTTATTACAGAATCTAATACACTTATGCTTTTTATTGTACATCAAAAGATGACATTTTTGTTACAATTCCGTGCATACATTTAACTCTTTCATTTATCAGGCAATTTGATTTATCACTTATTACAGGAATATCATATAAAATAACTTGTCAAGACGTATAACCATATCTGAGACACAGATGCTAACATTTGGCTGAATGGAAGAAAAGAAAACAAACTTGAAATATTCCTCTAGCCTGTATGAAATTGTATTTTCAAATTTTCTTTCCAACAAAAAGAAACTATTTATCTTTCTAAGTGATAGAAGAGAAATAAGGTATTTTAAACTCTGATGATTTTGTGAAGTTGGATTAAACCTAAAACCTGGAATGAAATATTGAATTGCCCAAATTTCATACAATATATTTGTCTTCTTAAAAATTACTGTATCTTTCATGTGATATGCTCAATTTGTCTCAAAAATCATGTCTTTTTTGGTCAAAACTTCACCAACAATATATTTGGAAACTAATTCTACAATATATAAATTTAATATTATATTATCTCCATACAATTCACAAATAAAGTCAGTTGGTCCATAGACACTGAAAATACTAACAATAACACAATGAACACAAGTAAGTGGTAAGTTATATCTAATATAATAAACTTTACAAGCATGAAAGAATTAGCTTCAATCATGAATTAAAACATCTGTGGCTAAGAAGGGTATCCTTTGGTTTTCTTCACAGAATTGTACAATGACTAATAAGTTCTGGTTTATTCTAGTGGGATGATTGTGTACATACACAGCAAGTAGAACTTGTTACAGAAAAAATACCATTAATACGAAGACATATGCCACAAACATACATGTATAAATGGTACTACAATAAAATTACACTATTTTTAATCAGCATTAAATAATGATTAACATTGTTACCATAAAAGCATTGCACAAAAGTAATTCAATTCAAGTATTTAGTTTTATTTCCATAACATGCACGCACTGCACTAGGTAATTTTCAAAAACTTTGGCAAACATATTATAAGAAGATAAGTGAAGAATTTTAAATGAACATAAAAACTTCATACATAGATTAACAATAATGCATATAAAAACTAAATTAAATAAACATCTGTTATACAATAACGAAGCCAAGTCTACACAATGTGGCTCAAGGGGATTGAAATTTGAAAAGTTCCTTTTGAACTTGTGGGTAATGACAGTCCACTGTAAATGTGGCTGGTGAGTACTACTAGTACCCGCAATAAAGCAGGTGATGGCACATTTATAACACATCAATACATCTATATGGCACATTATTTAATTTTTGGCAAGAATTTATTCACTTAGCACATTAGGAACTAAAAAAAGGCAAACATTAAATGGGATTGCTTCCCAACACATTTGATAAAAATTCATTGGCATGTTCTGAAGATAACTCCCTTCAGTATCAATGACTAGAATTAAAATTAAAATGAATAAGTGACAACAAAAGTGGTAATTTAATGACCAAACAGTCTAATAATGAAATCTTTGGCATATTTTGACAAACAGCAAAACTAGTTATCACTTGGAAAAACAAACAGAATAAGTGGAAGTAACTGGACATCACTCCTGAAATTAAATAAAACGTGTAATTCAAACCAAAGAGAAAACATGACATGACATGACATGACAACAGCCCCTCAACTCCAGAAAGAATGGAACAGGCACCAAGAAAAGACCGATGAAAGTTTCATGGAAGTAAAAAAAAAAGAAAGATCACCAATATATTTATCAATTAAATATTCCACCACCATTAAGACAATCACCAAACTGGAAATCAAGTAATACAAAAATAAGCAGTGATTGGAAGTAAATATTAAAGACCACTTCCATTTTGTAACTGCTAGAAAGGTAGTTAATATAGTCATTTATCATATTTTAGATACGCTGTTTTATACCCACAAATTCTCAAGGCTACCTCCCAGCAGAGCCACAAAAATGTTTTCATGCTACATCCACTGGTGTGTCATGCTACAGAAAACAAGTGATGTTACAAAGTACTACAACAAAGGGTGGTGCTACTATACAAAAACAAGTGTCCACCAAGTCACTGCAAACTTCCTGTTTGGTCCATAGCTACCGTGTCAGCAGAAACCATCACACAGAAAGAACAGATTTCTGATCGCACATGCAATTTGGTCCTTCACCACATATATTTTGGATGCCAGCAAAGCAGTCGCATACATTAATTAGTACAATATATATTGGGCTACAAAATCCTAATTGAACTATATGTGAACAAATTTTTATGTTCCACAATGTTAAGAAAGTCTACAGCTTTTACGTATTTGTATTGCATTATGCCAAATACCATACGTAGACACTATCTTCAAGACATATATAGAAGTTTAAACTAAAATATAGATATATTCCTTTGCATTAAAATAGAATTCACTGTGAGTTAACTCTTGTTGTATCTACAAAATGAGGGTCATGTAGCGGCTTCGCTCCCTCTAACCCCTATCACCAAAGCACCTGAGCTTTCACTCATTAATGGCCTATGGGCAGACAGGCTTGGCCTATGGCAACGAATGTTACACTTAAAGGCAACGTGTTTTAAACAGAGAAACATACAAAGCGAGCTCACCTAATATAAATAATCTATACATTCATTCTAGATCAACAGTCTCACACACCTAAGTTGTTTATCTCCATGTTCATCACAAACATGTTTTGTTGCAAAAGCTTGATTTTCCTAGCCTAAGGCCACAATACTACAATGTCACACTTATGAGAGAAAACAGCTGAAAGAACAGATGGAACACTTCCACCATCACCACCACCACATACACCATAAACAATGTAACAGTAGGAAATTAATGTAGTAACACTTGCTTTAGCTCAGAAATGGAAAATATAAAATTTCGAAGTGAATATATTTTCTAATACATAGAAAACAACATATTTCACTCCAAATTCACTACATTTGTAAAAGGCTGACACATTACAGGATTCTATGTAGTCACTTTCACATGCAGTTATGTTGCTGGTTACAGTTGTTATATGCTTCATTTTAGTTAATATTTAATTAAAGACATGATTATTCTGATGACCTTCATGTCTTGTGGAAAATAATAATATAATACTTTAGAAGTAAGAAAAGTGTTAATGAATGCTGATCAGAAACACTAAGAAGGGTCATTTTACAACATTGAATGGGAAACCATTTTCCCAATAATAATAACAATAATAATGAACATATGAATTTAACTTACAAAAGGAATTTCCACAAGAACATGCATTTTTCATAGCAGAAAGAACCAAGAAAGTAAGCTGAAAGACCCATAGATACTAATTAAAAGGAGAATATTATCAGTGAAACATAAGCTACGTAAAAAAAAAACCAAAAGCTCTTTAATATTAGAGAAGCATAAAACTACATTAAATGTTATTTCTGCTTTGAAATTACCATCTTTAGTAGTTATCAAAAGGTTTTGATTATCTTTTTCCTGCAACAATTGTAAATGAGAAAGTAGCAGAAGCTTTATCCACCGTCACCAGTTTATGCTTTAATCTTCTCAGCTCCATAACGATTTTACAAATGATTAGAACAGAATACTTGGAAAAGAGCTGAGGGGCTGGATCAATTGTATTAATAGAAATCATTCAAGGTCAGTTTTTTCTCCTTTTTAAAATATACGACCTTTCTTCAACAAGACAGAGAAACAAAATAGGACATAGAAAACAAAATGAAAATTGATCACAAACATAATAGGAGAAAAATAGTTTCTCAAACAATTTTTACTATCTACTTTGAGATGATTATGGAAAATTATTATCTAGTTACATTTTAAATAAATCCAATACTATTTCTCTAAATCATAAAAATTGTAAAACACACTTTATAGTGAAATAATTTTGATTTTCTTCAAATTCATTTTTACCTAATAAGGTATCTGTGAAGCAAGCTTTGCACCTCAATTTAGAGCTCATTGGAATGCATTGATCTATACAAATTGTATTCATTAGAAAGAAGAAAATTAATTTAAAAAAAGCAAATAAGTTAATTCACTGTGTAAATACACACACTACCCACCCCAACTCTATTTTAACATATCAGAAAGTACTTTCCAGAATGAATATTAGTATAATGCACCAATCAATTAAATCAGTCACTAAAACTAGAAAACTACCCTAATTAGGGTGTGTTCAAGTATTTGGCATGAACTTCAAGAATAAATTATTAATTCAGTATTATTTAAGACACCAGAAATGAGATTAAAAACTTGTATGTAGTAAAAGGAGTTACTAAACAAAAAGGCTCAAAAAGTCAAATCTCAAGGAAGAAAATAATTATGAGTTATCTTTACAAAATTGAAGTGAAAGGTATTAAGTTCACTATAACGACGGTGGATAAAGGATTGAAACACCTGGATGAAGAAATAGAATCAATAATACATTTTTTGTAAGTATTCTGTGAAGTTTTGGTGAAATATACACTTAAATAAACATTGAATTGCAGCACACTGATAAATGGATCTAATTACATGAAACAAACAAATAAATATTATTCTATGTTTGCATTTATAAACTTTGAAGTGATATCTGTGAAAACTACTAGTTTTCATATTCATTGCAGTAGACAAACTATGTTTGTAACATTTATGAAAATACACTTTGGCAAGAAATGTTGAGAGTTTATGAGATTGTTGGTAAATTCACTTAATTCTGCTCAGATTTACAAAAAATTCAAAAAGTTAATATTTGCAATAAATACGCACTTAATTTACCTTCTTACATCATTAATGTTGTTTCTATGTTATTGATTTCAAAGTCATTCATCTAAATGACAATCACAGACATGTTTAACATTTGAATAGCAATTAATAATATTATGACTAGTGTAGTAGAAAAGTGTCAGAATATGACTTCAAGCAGTGATATTTGTCACATTTATTTAATTTAATATGTGCTTGAATTTAAAAATCTATCAAAACTTCAAAAATTGTACATTTTTATATTGGAAGCTTTAAAATTCCAATGATATGTAGTGAACTGTTTTGGCCTAAATTGGTCCAAATTATTACCATATATTTTCTTCTATAAACCATAAAAATCAACTGTAATATTACAGAAAAATATTTCACAATATAATGAGTACTGACAAATAGGATAGTACTCTGTTTCACATTTTGCACTTTGTACTTTGCAAATAAAAATTAGATATTAAAAGTCAGTTAGATAGTATTTTCAAGTCTGTATCCTTACAAATCATAAAAACTATCTAGAATTGTTAAAAACAAACGAATTAGTCCATTTATCAGTAAGCTACTTAAACAAAAGGTAAAGCTTTGGCATAAAATTTGACTAACATTTAACATAACATGGCAAGTATCAAAGAAACGTAATCGCCTTCGGCAAGTACCTCGAGCTCCAAAACAAACCCAAAAAACAAACCAAACCAGCACGTGTAGCATCACTCGTGCCTGCCCTGCCAGCCTCGCTGCACCTTCCTTACCCTCGACGAGTCTCCCGGTGTCGTAAGGCCCCTGTGGAAGCGACGGCGCGCGCGGCGGCGCGGGGTCACGCGTGCGGGCGCGGCAGCAAAGGCGACCCCCTCGCGGCCCCCGCCCCCGAAGACGCGGCCCTAGTTCGCGCCCCGGCTCCCGGCCGGCTCCGAGTCCGAGTCCGGGCCCGGGTCCTAGTCGCGGCTCCGACCGCGGACCCAGCTCTCGACCGCGACGCGGTTCCGGTCCTGGCACGTGTCGCGGTGCCCCTCCCGGACCTAGACCTGGACCTAGTCCCGCTCTCGGACCCCGTCCCGACTTGTGACTCAGTCCCAGACCTTAATCCGGCCTCGGACTCCGTTCCCGCCTCGGTCACAATCTCGGTCTCGGTTCCGCTCTCGGATTCGGTCCAGGTCTCGGTCTCGGTCTCCGTCGTGGACGTGGACGCGGCCTTCTTCCTCCTCTTTCCCCTCCCCCTCCCCCCG